ATCAGGCTGTGCAAAAAGAACCGCTACACGGCCCTCACCGCGCCCCCCACGCCCCTGCCTCTGAGCGAGCGGCCTCTGGTGGTGGGGGTCTTTCTGGACTGCGAGGCTGGCCTGGTGGCCTTTTACAGCATGCCGGCCGGCACCCACATCTTCTCCTTCCCGAGGGCCGTGTTCTCTGGCGCCCTCCGGCCCTACTTCCAGGTCTACCCATACTCTCCTCTGTTCCTGCCTCCGGCCGACGCCTAGGGAAGGGGCAGCCTCCTCTCTGGCCTGCCCAGTCCACGGAATAGGGTGTGAATCCCGCAAGGGTCGAAATCCGGTTCTTGATCTCTACTGCCACCCTCCCCGTACTCAGGGCGGTGCTGGGCTTTGTCCAGCGTGGAGCCCACGAGTCTGCACCGAGGAGCAGATGGCCAATCTGAACTGAGGCGAAGTCAGAAAACGGACATGAAGTACCTGTCCTACCCTCCTCGATGGGCTCCGGGCTTCGACCTCTGAGGGTCCCTGGGGACAGGCAGGCGGCCCAGAGGCCAGAAGGTCTGCTTCCTCCCAGTTTGCCTGACGCCGTGGAAGTGTGGGTGTGAGGCTGTGGAAGGCCGCCTTTGTGTAGAGGAGCCGGAAGGCCAGCACAGCGGGGACTCCTCCGCCCACTGGCATGCTGATTGCTCTGAGCTGCAGCCCCGCAGCCCATCAGACTCAGTGACCTCTGCCTGCGAAGTGAGTGTGAACACTTAGCGTTAACCAGGGGCCACAGGTGGCATGGGGGTTAAGGAGCTGGATTCCCGCATGGGCAACCACGAGTCCTGGACCTCATATCTTGACAATCATGCCCGTGCATGTGCACACATGGCCAGAATCCAGAGAGGATGACAGAGGAGCAGGAACTGCGGTATGGCCATCCCCTCGGGGTGATTTCTAACTTTCCCTCTTTCTTCAAGCACACACACACCCTATGGCAAAACCTGAAGACAAAACAAAACAAAAAAATTACAATGAGATGTTTCAAATAGGGGATTATGAGTAGAAACAAATTTTGATGGGAGATCCACTTCTAGAAAAAAAAAAAAAGATGGCGTTTTCCAGACCAAGCTATAGTCAGCTTGATTAATTTGGGGTGTCACCTGGCCTGGATTGAGGGATGCCTGGGTGGCTTCTGAGGCCTTGTTCCTGGGTCTGTCTGCTGGAGTGTTTCCAGCAGGATTAGCATGTGAGTCAGGAACTGAGGGAGTCTTGCCTTCAATGTGCATGGGAACAGCCCTCCGACTGGAGATGTGGGAGGGACACGGCGGAAGTGGGGCCCTGTCTCCTCTCTGCTTTCTTCCCAGAGCCAGACAGGTATTCTTCTGCCCCTGTATGCCCGCCCGCTCCCTCCATACTGTGCAGCCCTTGGCTGTATCTGGGTGCACATACCTCTGGCAGCAGATGCCCAGTTCTTTAACGTTTAGACAGGGTTTGCAGCAGCAGCTTCCCGGAGGTGCTCAGGTCTTCTTCAGACTGGGAGCTGCCCATTCACTGGCTTCCACTGTTGTGAGTCTCCCGGCTGTTTTTCTGGCTTGTAGATGGCCTATTGTGGGAGTTTGCCACTTTACGATCATGTGAAATAATTTCTGTAACACATCCCCTCGCTCATGTATTTGTCCCGCTGGCTCCGTTTCTCTGGAGAACTCTGGTCCATCCAACCAGCCATATGGAACATTTTCACATCTCAGTAAATGCTTACTGCTGTAAAGATTGCCTGCCTTCATTATGATTCAGATGAGCTGACATGGCCTCACTGCACAGGTTTATTCTCAAAGGCATTCCAGGCCAGATCTGCATCGCGAGAGCGTGCCAGAGCAGAGCCGTTCACTCAGTTCTATTGGATGCGCAGTGGGGGTCTGGCTATAGAGAATGGACGATGTACATGACGCTCTGTAGGCTACGTCCCTGGTACAAGGTTGTGGCTATCATTAACTTAGTACTTAGACAACGGCTTGGCTGCAGAATGTCACCCAACATCTTGAGACACAGCCCGGGCCTGGAGCTCCATCTGGGTGACCGCGCAGTCCCTGGGATTCTGACTGGGAATGGGGCTGCCTTCTACTCCCTCCTGCATTCTTCCCTTCTGGCTAGTTCTCAGGCCTGGGCTGGTTTCTGTCTCCAACAACTGTAAAATTAAGTAGGGCAGCCAGAGTACTCAGAAATTCCTTCTAACAAGATTAATTAGTTTGTAAATGTACCAACAGGCTTAATGAATTATGAAGCATAAAAAATGACTATCATGAACATGTAGCAATCTAATAGCAAAAATGTTTGTTTAAGTGAAAAAATTAACATGCAGACGTGAATACGTACTATGATGAAATGTGGAACGTACACTGAGAGTTCTAAGAATTAGAGTGCAGAAGAGTAAAGAGGGTTTTCCTAATTAGGCACAGTGGGCATGATGGCAATTAAAGGCCCCAGCTTGCACCTGTGGTCATTTCCTGGCCAGCGGTGGTCAGCCTGGGCACCCTCTGCTGGACAAAGCTGGAAACACACTGAACAAACCTTCCATATTTCCTCTCCTCTTGGTCCAGCTGTTTGTGCTTTGGGTTTTCCGTCTCCACCCTTCCAAAGCTGCTCGGGCATTGCATGGTGTCCCTCTCACACTTGCAGTCTGGAATCATCAGCTGCAAACCTCGTGTTGTCTCGACCTTCAAGAAGCACTGTTCCTGGGCATCCTGGGGGAGCTGGTGGGACTACAGGATGAGAGAAGGGGGACTGGAGAAGGGGTGACTGCTCAGAGGGAAACTGATGACCCTCCGAGGATGGGGACTCGGAGGCAGCGTGGATCCTGCCCACTGAGGATCAGCTCTGTGAGCAGGTATAGGCTCTGCCTCTGGGACAGACAGGCTCAGCAGTGCTAAAGGAGCGCCCTCCCGGCAGGCTCTGCACACCACACAGGAACACCAAGGCAAGTCCAAACGAGAGAAATGGCTGATAACCGGTAAGTTCATAAAGTTGGTATAGACATTTCAGGAGGAACCAAGGTGGCTCCTTGAATAAGCTGGCCAGCTTCTCCGGCCCCAGTGAGACCCCCCCCCCCCGCCCTGACTTTCCACACAGCTCCAGGCTCTCTGAGGCAGCAGGCATCTTGGGGGCTCCTGATCCCCAAATTCCCTCTTTCAATCTGAAAATGAAGCCCGTTTCAGCTTATGTGCTGCTGAGGCCTGGATTGGAATCACACACGAAGTGCTGGCGTTCAGCGGAGCACAGGGTGTGTCCAGCTACCTCCTTTGGGTGATGGTCCCTCTCTGGGACCTTATTCTGACACATGCCTGAACACAACAATGCAATTTTGATGAAGTAAATGCTCAGTTACTACTTCTGTTTGAAGACTGTTCTGTCTCTGTGTGCAGATTATTTTTCAAATTTAGATTTACATGTGCACATTGTCAAGGCTGTGTAAAATACATTATTGTGTATAGAAAAGAAAAAACTTACCTTCTCCCCCAACATTTCATTTTTGTCCTTTGGCCACATGAGACAATAAAACCTCAAGATGAGAGCCCTCCCCACCCCTTTTCCTTATGAATGTGTGGTTATTGTCTAACTTATTCAGCAAAGCACTTCTTTAAGAAGACCCCAGTGGTCTTCAGTCAGTTCTAGAAGTCATATAATCTGTGCTTCCCCCCCCCCAAAAAAAAAACCCCTACAGACAGGGACAATTAGTAAAAAACTGAATTGCTACATTACCGCCGTCTGTCCTCTACTTACGCTTACTCAGTGAGAATGACTTCAAGTCTCTCCACTCATTTATGCAGATTTGGGTCAGATATATTTCCATGCTTGGAGCATTAGTTAAAACAATAGAGTTGGGGGCCAGAAAGTGGCATGGTGGTTAAGGACACTGGACTCTCACATGGCCAAGCATGGTTCCAGTCCCGGACCTGGTGGCTTGCTTTCTCACTTTCTCTTTCTCTCACTCTGTCCTTCTCTGGTCAAATTAAAATAAATAAACAAATAAAGTCAAATAAACTAATTTTTAAAAAGTCATGTTTTAAAAACAACAGCAACAAAAACGCAATAGAGTCTTGGAGGTGGAAAAGGCTACTGGGAGTGTCCTAATGGATGTGCATGAGTGCCCGAAACCTCAAGAGGAGAATGAAGGGATTGTGGAATGACCATCCCCCTGGGGGGTGATTTCTCCTCTCTCTCTCTCTGTGGGCCTCGCCAGTGTACATCCCCTATAGTAAAAAATCTTTCTCTGAAAATAAACCTAATAAACACAATGAGACAAGAAACAAACTGCCCAATGAACAAATGAGCAGGAAATAGGGTCAGGAACCCTGAAGAAACGACTAATGGCCACGGCCGTCAATCTAAAGGAGTGTGTACAGTGATTCTACACCCTCTAGAGTGGCAGGGATTAAGGAGACCACTCCTTGGTGTCTGGGAGGAGGGGGAGCTCATACTTTCCCCAAGTGTGTGCTATTTCAGGGATATGTCCACACTTACACCAGCTCAGCCCTGGGAAGACTCTTGTGTATTGCACCATGTTTTTTTGTTTGTTTGTTTTGAGAGATTTTTTGCTATAGGGCGCGTGCGCACACCAGACAGAGAGTGACAGAAAGCGAGAAATCACCCCCCCCCAGAGGGGATGGTCATGCCGCAATCCCTTCTCCATTCTCCTCTCGGGATCTTGGGCACACACACACATGCACAGACGCCCGGCGTGAGTTTGAAGCCACCGGGTCCGGGACGCACACCGTGGTCGACTACGTGGGAGTCCAGCGACATAGCCATCACGCTAACTGCTGGTTCCCTGCACCATGTTGTTTTTCACATACGTGCTTTAGTAGAAGTGGAGGAATGAATTATACTGCTCTAAGGGAAACATTTTAAAGAGATTTGTAAAACGTTTTGTTAGAAAAGGTTCTTTGTTAAAAAAACAAACGAACAAAAAAACCCACCACCCTGGCCAAAACCCCGAACTATACATACATGTGTCCAGAGTATGTAAATGCTAGGAAGATGGCTCCAGTTTGGGCAGGGGAAACCGGGTGTGAAGCGCCCCTGCAGCTTGGTCTCTAGAGGACGCAGGACACCAACATGGAAAAGACCTGTACGAAGTAAGCTTTGTATTTCGTATTTAAGAACTCTTATGCACATGCATTTTAAAAAGCTGCAGCGACCCTGCGGAGTAAATCTGACTCATCAGTTTTTCCTCAGGTGTAAAGAAAAAAGGTGTTAAGGTTTAAGTCCTAGAATTAAAAGTTGTATCATTTACAGGAGCAATTCTGCAGAAGGGTCCCCAATATCCAATGTGGGGTGAAAGGCCTGCCCCTGAACACGGTTGTTTGGTAGAGCGAGCTTCTTTCAAATATTATACAACCAGGGCACTTGCTTCCAAAAGCAGAGCAACTTAAACCTGGCAAGGGCTTTGGGGCTTCAGTTCTCCACTCCAGCTCAACTCCTTTGCCCTGACCATGGCAGGAACCATGCCCACAGTGCACAGGTCAAGGGGAACCGCACTGTGGAGGTTGAGGGCTCCTGGTGATGTGTGGTGATGCCAGTCCAGCCAGTACTGTGGACACACTGGGCAAAGCTGAGGGTTTTGCCCTTTACCCAAAACACCTTCCAGAGACAGCTGCATAAGCGGCCATTAGCCTAAGACAACTCTCACCTTACATGGGTCACAGGGAACAGGTAAAAGCACAAGGTAGACCCCAACCCAGAGCTTAAGGTCAGACCCTGCTCTCGGGATCTACCAACTCCCAGGTTGTTCTGAGGGTGCCAGTGCCCGGGCCCCAGCTGAGGGCCTTAAAGTGTGGGCACCTGGCGAGTAGTGAGACGGCTAACCTCGCGCAGCCAGAGTAGGCTGGGCCGAGGCACTGCCTACACGGG